CAGGCCCTGGTACTTCTCCAGCTTCTCATGCTCTTTCTTCCTGATGTTGCTGTCACTTGACATAGCTACATCTATCACCACTGCTGTCTTCTGCTCGTCTACTACCATGATATCTGGTTGACTGGCCAGTACCTGCCTGTCCGTCTGGATCTGGAAGTCCCACAAGATTAGCCCAGTTATTTTCCACGACCTTCTGTGGAATCTCCCAACTGGACTTGGGAGGGTCTAGCCCATACACTGTGCAGATGTTCCTGTACACAATGCCAGCTACTTGGTTGTGTTGTTCAGTGTATGCTGTTCCTGCGTGCATCTTATACTCTGCCACTATGTCTTGGACTGTCTCTGAGGCCTCTCTGCAGTCTGGACCTTGGGTACATTTCATATATCCCCTCTCATTAGGTCTACTGTTGTAGCAGCATTCCATCAATTCCAGGTTCTCTTGTCTCATCCATGTATGGTTTGTTCCAGTAGCCTACTTATTGTCAAATTGTCCCGTTCCCCAACATCTGGCATGGACCTTGTTAATCTGGGTGATGTCTGAGCTGGCATGACTCTCTTAGTTCATGTCACTCTCATATCCGAGGTAGGCAGGTGAAGAGTTAGGGGAGTCTTTGCCCAAGGACTCCTACTGGTAAGGTAAGTACCAGCCGGGATTCAAACCCTGGTCTCCTGTGTCAAAGAGCGGCACTCTAACAACTACACTATCCAGCCACTTATACGCACACACACATGCACGTGCGCGCACACACACACAGCTTAAAATATCTGTAATGCTGCAATGCGTAAAACCACCTAGATAATCTGAGTATCTTTTGTAAACATTTGTTATTTTGGATATACTGCAATATGTATCTCAACATACATTTCTATAAAAGTACATGTCTGTATACAAAAAAATAATCTGACACAGCAAACCAAAGAACTGTAAAACTAGGAAGCTTGAAGACTATTGCTATAGTAATTTAAATACAGTCAAAAGTTATACTGAGAATGGATGCAGAATTATTTAGAACTCTATGCAACTGCAGGCCATAAAATGTATTCACCTCATTAGAACTGCATAGTGCATCAAAGGGATTGAACAAGATTTATGAAATTCACAGCATATTACTAACATTGAGTAGGAATCTAATTTACACAGAACTGCCAAAACTACTTTTTGGAATTAAAGCTATACAGTTCCAGTCACTCCACAAGCAATGTATCTTCATAGATGTGTTTTTTAGACTGATTATAATTTGTGCCAAATACACACATTCTTTGGAGACAGACAGTAAGTATGTCATGTTCACCTGTATCAATGTAACTTAAATTATACTTTGTACCTTAGCGACTTGTGTAACTGCACTGGCACCAAGAGCAGCATTTGCTATATCTTCCAGTTTACTTCTTGAAATGGCAGAAATAAAATTTAAATAATACGACTCATAAAGTTGATTTCTAAGATCCTGAAAGAAAGAAAAAAGTCCAAACCAAATAGTGTTAAATAAGTGGGCTTTTAGTGAACAAAAATGCTTTAAGATTAAAATATTTATTAAACAGAAGGATATTAAAATGTAATTATTTCATGAGACTCTTATCACATCTGGACCAATTTACTGTCAAGAACCCTGCCTTATTTAGGAGTACAATTCTAATTTCTCATTTATTTAAACATTTACAAATTACAGTACCTTTAACATATGCCACAAGAAGTTGAAAATGGATGCATAAAACTGAGCAGCTGACCAAATGCAGTTGTATGGAGTTTCATAAAAATACCTTGGAGGTATGCTTAATTTCATTTGGGATGTCCTGTATCACTGACTGAATGCATATTTCTAGTAGGTTGCTGAGTCATCTGTTAGTGTTGATACTTCAATTGGGGTGCAATATTCTTAGTTCCTTATTGGTAAGTATAGCCTGCATTAAATGCTTCTAGGTGAAAAAGTGCTTGTCTTAAAAGGAAGGTCACCTGGTTATAGAAATGTAAGATATGGAATGATTTATTACAATTTTGTGATGTGGATAGTTCTTAAAAACATGGATACACTAGGCACCTCATCTGCTGATTGAAGAATCTGTATCATGGCCAGGAAAGAAGGTCCTTTTTCTACAGAAGAGGCATTCTACAGTGGATATTTCCCTCCCATTTGCTCCTAAGGCAGGTAGAAGATTTAGTCAGTGCTTCAGTGCAACGGCTCCATCCTCAGTTTCTGAATAAAAAGCTATTTGGAGAGCTCAAAGGAAGCATACTTGAGAAATGTAGAAATAAAGGACAGGTATATTAAATACAACTGATTGCTGAAACTGATGGTTTGAATGCCCTTTCTCTATTGTAGAAAATATACTTTCAAGGGAAGTCTAAAGTACCATTTTCCTATAACGGAACCATGGCATTCTACAATGGGACAAGGTAGGGCTGTAGGAGGGATACAAGGAGACTTTCTGAGGCTCTGAATTCCTCTTCTCTGCTCATAAATTTTGATGTTTCTCCTGACATTTGGTACATGCCAATCTCTCTCTTGGGACTGAGGCAGATGGAGGGGAGGATCATTTTCTGTGAAAGACTGCATTCACTTTAATTGTAATGGCTGGGTCTAAATAGAGTGATAGCTCCTGCCTAGATAATACAAAACTCTTACTTGGTAGAGAGCACTCCCCATTTTTGATATGTGCCTGGCAGAATTCATAGCTATCAAGAATATCATTTTCTGTATCAGGAACTCTAAGGCTGACCACAGTGAAGGTCTGAAGGGGGCTTGGGTTAAGGCTTGGAATATTAGCTGAAGGTTCTGTGAGGAATATCTGTGAATAATGGTTAGTCATGGTAGTCTGGTCTAGGAGTGTCATGGCCAACTCAGAGAAGTCTGACACAGCCTGCTCCAGGAGAGCTGGTTGTACCTCATCCTGAGGAAGCGTCGAACACTCAAATACCTGAGGCTGATCCATTGGGAAATCACCAGGAGCAGCTGTGCCTGCTGTCAAAATATGAGGAATTGGAGCTGGAAAAACCACCAAGCCCCATTGTGTGCCATAGGCAATGGAGGGTAGAGAGCAGAGCAACAGTGATCAATGCATTTCCTTGCATGCCAGGGGTGTTCCCAGCCTTGATTGAGTTCACTGGCATGGCTCTATTTAAGAACAACTGTTAGCCTGGCTTCCTTCATTGGAAACAACCACTCTGTTTACTAGAAACTATCTGTCAAATTCCTACCTGTGGAAGCTCTGTTGTTGTGGACCCAGACCAGCTGACGACCTACCCACGACACTGAGATCTTTAGGCTGTGCCCCAAGAAAACATCTGCCTGATGCTTTGGGCTTTTGGAAACTCATTACAGACAAGCTTCCAAGAGATCTGGCTCTGCTCAAATTGTGTGTGCAATTGCTTATACACAGCCTGCCATTGCTTGTAATTTACACAAATCAGAGTAAAATCTGTGCAACTGAACACCTTTGTGAATGCATGTGTGGCCTGGGACAGGATAAGGTCATTAACCAGATTTTCTGCCAGGTTTGGCATTCTGTAACACCTCCTCACAATTTCTGTTGTTTCCTCTACCTTATATTCTTACCCTAATGCTCTTGAATGGACCTCATGTTCAAATTCCTGATTCTCAAACACATGTATACTTCCTTCACACATGAATCTTGTTTGTTCCCCATACTTCATGCATTTATATAAAGAAAATTGAATTCTTGAGTCACATAATTTGGCCTATTCTTTCCTATTTTTATGTGTATTTTTATAAGGTACTTCCACATCCTGTTTTCCTAGTCTAGTTCTCAGTACTTGGTGGTGCCTTATTTTCTGAGCTCTATTCTCTTCTTCTTAGAGCATTCAGTTTAAAACTCTACCATTAGGTTTTCAAAGCATCTTCCACATTCCTCCCAGTTCTTATGAGTCCATCTCTTGTGAGGAATCCCTCATTCTGGGAAATGTGTCCCATTATCAAAGAATCCAAACTATTTTTATTGGTACCATACATGTAGCCAGTTGTTTAGTTCCCTCCTTTTTCTCCCCATCTGAAGTTTTGGACAACTTTTGTCCTCTAAAAATTCAAGCTACAAGTTTGATTACACTCAGGATTATCTTCTTTGAAACAAGAATTCCAGCACTGCATACTCACTTTCTCAGAATATATACCTTGCAAGTAACACTCACTGAGATGTGTATCTAACAATTCCTCAGAATATACAGCTGTCATTCCCTTATCTTACTTGTATCCCCTTCCAGCTGAATTCTCTTACTATACTCTTGTTAGCGTTCACTGTTAACTCCTCCCTAGAGTCTGGCAGAATTTTGTAACAAGACTGGAGCTAACTGGTTTCAATAAATAGGGAAAGTATGTTGTTAACAATCCTAACCTCTGGAAACGGTAGGAGGGAGGGTTAAAAGAGGTGGAAGATTCCCCTATCCTCTACCATATGAATGTACCTCACAGCTATGTCAACTTTTTCATGGTGGGCCTTCTCCTTCATCTCCAGATGGTACATTAAACCTAAAGTAGAAGATATTTCCATTGTATGCATTAGTCACACAAAGCTGTATATTTGCACTGACTACAGCAGTACCGTCTCATATTATTAGCTAAAGACATTTCCTTTCTGTCCTCCAACTCAACCAGAGAAGAGTGCTGTTAATTCTTTCTAGGAACCTAAAAGAAGACAAACAACTGCTGCTCAAATTGCTCAATAATGGACAATGATGTGGTACATATATTGCTATATGGTAAACCATACCAATATACCTATATGCCAAGCACTACGTGCATCTTGCAGAAAACCATTTGTATAAGCATCTGTGTTATAGTTTTCCTGTGAGAATTTTAGGTTACAAATTGAATTCTGTTACTGTTTACAGAAAACATTAAATAGGCTAAATCTACCTGGCACAGCCTATCAATATTTTCTTCTGTTGGCATTACAAAATATATTGCTGGAACATCAGGAATAGGGTCTCGATCAGAGTGCAGAAGACTGAAAATAAAAGAAACTTCAGTTATTTAATACTAAATAAACAAACTAAAAACCCATTTAAAGAACAAAGACATCACTTTAATTCTATGAATTCTTACTTGGGATGAAGCTTCATAAGAAACTTAATACTGAGTTTTATTATTTATTAATAATCTACCTCTATCATCATTCCATAAATGATGGTATATAATTAACTAGACAAAAAAATACAAACACAACAATCTAACAATCTTAAAAAAGTTAAACCAACATTGAACACACTAATGTATAGAATCAAACTGATGTATTTTAATTTCTTTTCAAAAACTCAAGAATAGAGACTAATTAATTAATACGAAAGCGTTTTCATTTAATCCATGACACCAGCTCTTTAAGTGATTATATGCTGAAAAAGATTTTTCTGGTGGTGGAAGACGCACTATTAATGAAATATATTTTCTCCTATCAGCAATCTCCCTGAACACTTCTAAACTTTACTGAAAGACTGCTTTGACATATGATTAAAATACATATTTTTAGATTTTCTCTTGATGTTCTTCAGTACCTTCCAAAATAATAATTGTGTCATTAATCTCATGAATCAAAACTTGCATAGCTTTATACTGTCCATTATTGAGCTTTATGCTGACTGGCATACTAGTGCTTCAAGTATGCTTGTGACAAGACAGGATATGGCTCTGAATATAATTGGAATCTTGTAACTGTCTCATCTACTGTCCCACTGGCAGGATATCTGATTTGCAACTTAATCTGATAAATCTTCAATCACACAAAATCTTTTAAACACTATATAATATAACATATGTACAGACACAAACATACGCAATACATACAGATGCAGAGTAATGCCCATATCTCTTAATTCTTTCACAGAGAGTAATGGAGATATTATGTCCTGTCCAAATCTGTCATAAATAAGAACCTATAATGCAAACACAAATAATATTAAGATGTATACTATGGATGTAATCTTTAAAAACTCTGTGTATGCTGTTTTCCCACCAACAATTACTACATAATTAATATTAATTCACAGGGCTTAAACAAAGAAGTGGTGCAGCACTTCCATTCCCGTCGGTTTTGCAATTATTAAATAGATGGAAGATATTATGAGCAGTTTTTCAGATACCAAGGAACCAGCATAATATGTTTACAAATTCTTCAATACCTTAAAAATGATTAAAATGTAGCAGTGGTATATATAGTTAAAAAGGAATTAAAATTAAAATAGGGTACAGAGATATTTATAAATATGGTACTCAGCTCCCCCATTCAAACAAAAGTAAGGACAGTCTCTTATTTAAAAAAGGGGAGGGATGAATTTACAGAAAGGATAAAGCAGAATAATATATTATACAGTTTTAGTTGGAACATTAAGAATAGTTTTGCAAATAAATGTTCTTAGATGTTTACAATTTTCTTTATATAACCTTCATCAAAATTTCAGGCCATTTCAATAGTCTGTCATTTTTTCCCATTTACTTCTTTGTCTTTCATAAATAGCAGTTGTTCCAATATGTCAACTTATTAGCTAGAATTATAAAATATATCTTTCAAAAATATGGCAAGGAAGTTAATTTTACAATTTAAATTATCTCGGATAAAAGATTAATGTATAACTTGACTTACTTTCCATACTGGTTCACCTGTACTGTTTTTAACAGGTGGCACATTAAAATTCAACATGCGTTTCAGAGCCACTGAAAAGAGAAAAAAGTTTCATTTTATTTGTTAATAATGATAACAATCATAATCTTGAATTACTTAGATTTTTTTGGTGCTGCAGAAAATGGGCCTATAGTTTTTTGAATAAGCTCCCCATTACGCAAATGCTTCTTTTAAACTAGAAGAAGACTAGAGGAATTCTGGTTTATGAATGCCAGCATCTGAAACAGGGAACTATAAATGACATGAAAACTGGTGTAAGTCTCTAGGTACCCAGCAAATTTATATAAATCTCTTGCTAAGCCCCTCACATTATCTTCATGTGATGTAGCAGGCAAAGTACAGGTAGTCCTTGCTTAATGACCATTTGTTTAACAACGGTTCAAAGTTACAACAACCTCAGAAAAAGTGCTTTACGACCTGTATTGGCACTTATGACCATCGCAACCTGTTGCGCTACCCCCAGTCACATGTTCACGATTTACTTTTATGAGTCATAAAGTGAATCACTGCAGTCATTAAGCAAATCACATGGTCCTTAAGTGAATCATGTGGTCGTTAAGTGAATTCCAGCAAAAAAGTCCATTGGGGAAGCTGGATTTGCTTAATGACCACATGATTCACTTAATGACCATGCAATTTGCTTTATGACCATGGTAAAATGGTCATAAAACTGGGTCCGGTCATGTGACTAGCTTAATCACTGCCCCTTTACAACCAATTTCCTGGTCCCTATGGTAGTCGTTAAGCGAGGACTACCTGTAAATGAAATTGGAAGATTTATTCTATATGTAGGTGGTCCTTGCTTAGTGACCACAATTGGGACTGGCAACTCTGTTTCTAAGTGACACGGTTGCTAAGCTAAACATCACATGACTGGGACAGGTTTAAGACCTCACTTCTGCCACTTGTGATTTTACTGCCAGCTTCTCCATTGACTCTGCTTGGAGGAAGCTGGTTGGGAAGCATGCAAATGTCATTGCATGATTGACATTTGCCTGCTACATAAACACCCAATGGTTGCAAAGTGCCTGAATGTTCATCATGTGACCATAGGGATGCTGCAATGGTCGTAACTGCGAGGATTAGTCATAAAGTTACTTTTTCAGCTCTGTCATAACTTCGAACGGTCACTAAACAGGGCAATCATTAAGCAAGGTCTACTTGTACAAATCTTGACTATGGTACTCTTAAAACCCAGAAAAGATTCTTTATTGCATTCTAATAATCAATGTTGATGCAATTGTGAAAACAATTATTTGATATATGTAAGACAATTATCTTATTTAACCAGTCATTAAATTTCTCAAGTCTTTCAGATATTTCAATGGAAGAAAACGCAAAAACCAACTATTCAAAAGAAAAGAAAAATACGGTTGCTCTTAGTAAAAATCTATGTGATTGCTAAGAATCAACACTTGATGGTATATAATCAATAAATTAGGAAAAATAAATGGTCTTTTAAATGTACCACTCATTGTATCAAATACATAGGCATTTCTATGCCTGAAAACATCATCTTTGTGATGAAACTGAAAATTATTCAGGTTGATCTGCACAAAAAAGCTTATCTTAAAATCAACAAGGAGAAAAAAGGACCCACTCCATATACATTATATTCACATGTGATTTATATACAGTTTTTCATAGTAGTGTAAAGAATTAAAGAAAAAAAGGGATCTGTTTTCTGATTGTAACTATGGAGAGAAAGAACAAGACTGTCTGTTGTCTTCTTCTACTGCTCTCCTCATATTGGAGGGGACATCTATAAAAAAATTGTTTATGTAAAACTCTTTTTCTCCTGGTAAGCACTAATCATGGAGAAGGCACCATTTACAGATCTTTTTCCCAATCAATAGCTGAGGGAGAGCAATAAAAAAGTATGGATCCTTCATATGATTATATAATAAAGGAATTAGGGTGGAATATAGCAAGCAGTTGTTGTTATTATTATATTAGATTTATCTCCGCCTATCTCCCTTAATGGGGGACTCTGGGCGGCTCACATAGTACAACATTCTAACATTTTACAGCTTAACATTTTACAACATTTATCTTAATTATCTAACATTTTACAACCTATTCTATATGGCCATGTTGTTATTACCAAGAGTGGGACTGGTGAGGAGAAATCTTTAACAGGCCTGTCTTGGGCTCTTCCATTAAAGTTTACCCAGGCTCCCAAGGAGTCAAAGCCTACAAGACTGACAATGTATAGATCTTCCATCTTTTACTAGGCTTTTGAGCGTGTTGTTGTGGTACTCTCAGGATATACTTCATCAGGTACTTCTAGGTTAGGAAGATGGCTTACCCAGCAGGTTAAAAGCCTTGGAACAGTGATCCCACTGCACCTAGTGTGTGGCTGGGTGCTCAACCTTGGCTCTTGGCAGCAAGTTTTCAATGGGCAGGAAGGGGGACCCACCTGGCACTTCTACATGGAGAAGAGCTGTGAGCAACAGGTCTACTTTTAGCATGGCCTCCATTTCTTTCATGCCATCAGGGCATGTTCATATTACATTCTCTACCCCCCTCCCTGCAACTGACATCCTCGATTTATCTTTTTTTCATGCTTGTATGGTTCATTCTTTATGGTATCTACCTTTTTGCTGTTTCCCCTCTACCCAATTACTATGGCAGAAAGACTGCCAAAATTTTCCTGATTGTCATCAGAAAAGCCCCTATTTCTGGACAGGCTGTGGCCTTCATCCTTTTCAAGGCTTTTTACTGGTCTTCTTTCAACCTGCCGCCTGTTACATTTCTACCATAGGTAATTGTCATGGCGTTTGGATGCAGTGGCAAAGAATAATGGGAACTGTTATCAGACACACCTAGAAGATACCAGATTAGAGGAAACACCTGTAAGATGTACTGCATAAAAGGAGGACCTATACTTCATTTCAAGAAGTGATCTATCTAATCAAGGAAGGGTCTATGCCCCATTATTTCTTGGGATAGCAGCTGTTTAGATAATGTTGTTTGATACTGTCTCTTTTTTTGTGTGGGAGTTCAAAATTCTTATTTTCTTTGTTACAAAATGAAGCTTATTTATTAGGCTTGTATTTTACTATTCCTAATTTCTTGGCAAATTTCTATGCAGACACAGATCCACATAGGTTTAGTATTTCTAGTTATACTTGCATTTTATAGCAACTTCTGGAACAAAGGACCTGTCTCCTTCCATATTGTCATCCTTACTCTCTAAGATATGATGAAAAGCCCTTGTCAGCTGTGGCAGAGGTACATTTGGTTGGGCCAAGAAAAATAACCTTTCATGGTCACATCTAAGCTCTAGAATGCTGTATCTTGGGAGGCAAGGCTACCATCCTCTCTGCTGGCATTTCACCAACTGGTCAAGACCTTACCTTTTAGGAATGTATGATATCTAGAGGCAACATAAATGTTAGAAAATGCAATTTTTTTGTGTCTGTCTACTTCATAATTTTTATTAAATACCTTTATATTAGGATTTTTGTTTTGGTCCCAAACAGCTGCTGTAAGCTCATATAAGTATTTCAATAATTCAGTTTGGTCTAGTGGTTAAGGCACCAGGCTAGAAACCAGCCGGCTGGGTGATTTTGGGCCAGTCGTTCTCTCTCAGCCCAACTCACCTCACAGGGTTGTTGTTTAGGGGAAAATAGAAGGAGGAAGGAGTATTAGGTATGTTCGCCATCTTGAGATATTTATAAAAATAAGAAAGGTGGGATAAAAAATCTAAAAAAAAAAAAAGATGTATAGCAGCCATGGATTCTCCTACAGATTACTAACTGATTAGAGAGCAAGAAAGATAGATACTAAAAATCAAAGCACACCATGAAAACCTGCCAAAGGATCTCTTCAAATGGAGCAAGTTGCAACAAATTGACAAAAGAAGTTCAATATGGTTTAGTGCAAAATGAGACCAAGTGTAAAATGAGATTAAAGTTACATTTTAACTTCATATAAAATCTAATTGTACTTAACTGGGGGCATTCTTCCTTTCTCTGTAGCATAATTTTGATAACTGTATATTAGGAGAGGTAACAGCAGGTGGATTCTACTTCTAAGCTCAGCCTCTGAGAGCATACTTGACATGGAGTTTATATGAAAAAAAACATTTTACCTGAAATAATGGGCTCTATGCCAAGCTATAAAATCAAAGTCCCATAATTTAACAGTAGCACTAAAATTGGTATTATCTACACTGAAAAAAACTGACTCTAATGCAACTTTCCCCACCCAAGTGATTTCCAGATGGCAAACCCCATAATCCCAATGAACATAACCACTGCTGGATGGGAGTGATGGGTGCAGCCATCCAAGAAATCTGAGTGCACCAGGCTGGGAAGTGTTCCCTTAAAGTATCTCCCATTTACAAATTCCAAGCAGATATTTCTCATAAACGAGTCTGTGTTATATTTTCAAAGAATGCCTTGTCAAATACTCAATATAAGTAGACCACTAGTGACGATTTAATCATTTAAAGTGGCAAACCACACTAGAAATTAATTTAAGGATTCCTTTCTCTCTGAGACAATTTCGTGCAATAATTCCCTCCCCATAAGAAGCCTTTTGCAATGCAGCACTGGTGGAAGGCCGTGTTCCTGTTTGCATAATGCCCTTAAACTTTAGCCGACGAAGTCCTTCCCAGCAGATAATCGCCAAGGCTAAGGAAAAGAGGAAAAAAAGGAAGGCCTCCAGAAGCGCTCGAAGTCAGAGGCACAAGGGGCATCCCAGCAGAGGACACCCCAGCAGTGGGGGCTCGATCAGCCCAGGCCAGACTGAGCAAGCCCGCTCGCTTGCGACGAGGTAGACAGTTCTCTCATAAAAAGCGCCGAGCTGAGCTAGAACGACGAAGGGAGGGCCGCAATCCACACCAGACGGAGACGAAGGAGAAGACCCTGCCATTCTCCCTTGAGGCAGTCCCAGCTTCAGGACGGCCGAAGAAGGCACGGCGGCCAGACCAAGCAAACCTGCGGACGACCTAATGCCTAACACTCACCGGTCTGCTTCTCCCGGATACTGGCCGCCATCTTCCCCTGGCGCTCGGGCCGACTCCGCCCCCTTTACCGCCGCTCCATCACCAGCCGGCAGACGTGGCGCGCGAGGACTACGCGGTTTCTTGCGGTGGCACGACGGGCGGAGTCTGTCGAGCCCCTGCTCGACCCATCCGGGTTGACGCTACTGTCCGGGTTGCTCCCTTGGCGCTTTGCGGGAGACGGGAGGAGAATGCAGCCCCGTCCTGCTTCTTGGAAAACAGGAGTTAGGCTTTGACATTTTCCTATCGTATTCTACGTCTGCGACTCGTTGCAGACATAATTCCCCTTGTTGGCCGGATGGCTCCATTGATAATCCTCGGCACCGTTTTATGGGACCTTTTGAGTGTGAAACCAGATTGGCGCGTTTAATCTTTCTGAAAGTTAAAACTGCTGTTATCGTTTTTTCTTCTCCAGTACGTTCTTACAACTGGAAAGTACGCGTGGGATCTTGCTGTTTAGGCTTGTAACTTCAGCCTCAATTTATTGCACCTTAAAACGAAAGCAAGAAACCTGTAGTTTTCCTAATAGTAAACTAAATCCTCTTCCCTCTTGACTTTTCACCATAGTGGCTGAGGGATGATTGGGGCTGGATTTCAACATCTGAAGAGCCACAGGTTCCCTATGCCTACCTTGAAGACAGGCATTAAACGCAATTGCTTCAGGAATAAAATGAAAAAAGACTGTTCAAGATTGTATCTGTCTCCCCAGAATACCAAGGATAATTTAAGTTTCAGTCTAACATATAGCAGTGCTTAATTATTCCTGTGCTTCATGGGCAATTTCTGTATCTGAAGTCTGATTTGTGGGGATCAGATTTATGAAGATAAGTAGATTGAGTATGCTTTGTAACAAATCTCATTTCTAAAGCAGGATACTTGGGATCCAGAGGTTATCTCACCTGTAGCAAAAAAATTAACAGATGGGGGTTGATCTCCTTCAAAGCAATTTAAGCCTTAAATATCTGACACGGATAATAAACCAAAGGAGATCAAATTGGAGCAAGATGGAAAAAAATGGGGAATAGGAACTGTGTTGGGTGAGACTCAGATTTATAGTTTTGGTGTAGTCCCAGATCCAATCTTGAATCTAAGCAATATTTTGCCAGACTGGGCTGATGTACTAACTGCACCATTCCAGAAGGTGTTATTTTTTGGCAAAATGACTTTACATTCCATTTTGACAAAATTTTATATAATGCTGATTCAGAAGCTGTGTTCAGACAATTGCAATAGAAAAGCTTTTATGTGGATCATGTAACTTTGTTAGAAAATACTTCATTAGCTTCCATTTTGGGCAAAATTCAAAACATTGGTTATGACTTCTAAAGCTCTATTAATAATTCCTAGCTTTTCAAAGTATAGTTTTCCTACATATGAACTACGTGAGTTTAAAATCTTCAGTAAAGAGTCTTTGTTAGAATTAAAGCACCTTTTGAAAAATTTTGAGGGTCTTCTCTGTAGCTGCTCCCCTTCTGGAATCCCCTTCTTTTTATTGATGTCTTTTTTATTGTAAGTTGCTACCTTGAGCAACATTCTGGGATGAAAATACGTAGAAAATTGTTTAAAAATTTCAGTTCTGTAATTGTTCTCGGGCCTACTTCACAAATTTCCATAATGCTGAATAAAGTTGGGTAAACTCTTAAAAGCTTAGCAGAGTCAGACCTGATTAGTACTTGGATATGTGCCTTCTCTGCCCCCTACAGTTGGAAGCTGGATAACAACATTGGATTATATATTGGATATGCTTATACCGTGGGCATCTGCAAGAGGAGGAGGAGGAAGCAGAAATGACAAAACAATATAAAATGCCACAACTTGCCTTCCTAACATACAGGGCCATGCAGGGCTCTCATAATTCACAATTTCAATTGTCACATTCTCTGCAACAGATTTATTACATCAATGGCTTGGGCACGCACTGGCAGGATCAGTGTTTACAAACCACTGTCTTTGTCACAATTTTTTTTAAAAGATTCTTTTGGGGTCTAAATACTGTCGTCACAGCTGTTCTAAAACCTTAGATTTCTGAGTAATTTATGTGGCAACAAATAACTTCACACATTTTAAGATAATTCCTGCTTGAAAAACATATCAGGAAATTTTTTCTTCATGCCTTCATTAAAAGGCAGGAACAAGCCAATTTCTTACAAATTGATTATACAACACTGGCTGCACATTTGCCTTACTTTGGCTTTTAGAAGGGCTAAACATTTAAAACTTGAATAAACTTAACACGTAAAGGTTAGCTTGTCACAGTTGTTCATGGAATGCTGGAAGAAGCATTTGTTTGATCACAATTGTCCATATGGTTGATTATAAATTATAAGATTTTCAATTATAGCCATGCTGACCTATTACAAAAAAAATAACAAACCTATCAAGACAACTGGGATATCAAGATTACCAAATTTGTTATTGTACAAGATTTAATCAGACACATGGAATACGCTGAGTCACATTTACAGATAGATGCATATGCACTGTTAGAGAATGCAATTGACTTAGTTCACACATAAAAAAAAAAAATCATGAGCTCAGCCTTTGATGCCATTGATGGAATATCTATTGTTACTTTCAGCATCTGAGAAGTTCTTATTGTCAAATGTAATTAGGACAGCTAAGAAAAGCAATTCTCATCATTTGAACTCAGGAGGATAGGTGCATAACTTTTTCATCACAGGCATGCTATACTGGTTAATATTACCAAGTCAAGTCAAGTGACTTGGCAGTGTTTTAATATTACTGTTTAGAAAATTCACATATGGAACAATGTCTTTGTGTGACAACTTTTTGTTTCTGCCCATAAAAGCAAAACATGTCATATCAATTGCATTAGAATTGGCTTTTCACTTTCAAAATATATGATGTGTAATGCAATTATTTAAACAGCATACTAAATTTCTCCTGACCTGACTTCTGTAAGCTTGTGTTTTCATAGGAAAGGAAATTTCAAGTGGACTGGAAGAAACAATATATATAGATCCCTTGCTCATTTACAGCTATCTTTACCAGCCAGGAGGTGTTGGATTGGCACACCATTCTAACCAACCAACCATTTATTTTCTTGTAGCATTTGAGTTCTCTAGAAATTAATCACTTATAAACTATCTTCTATTGTTTTTAATTTATAACCCAGACAATTTTAAGTGAAAAAGAAACCGAGTTGGGTCTAGACTGATTTTAAATAGAATTTCTGAAATCGGTGGGACTTAGGTTTCACTGAGACTTTTCAAAATATGATTGCACCTGGATGTAACTTATTGTAGTTACAATTCACTTTGGAAGTCTTACTATGGTCATTTTCATTTTTAGAGTAAATTCTTTTTGGTGAGACAGTGGCAACTTTAAATAACCTTCACATAATCTTTTGAACAGGAATTATATATAATTATTTCCATGCATTCCAAAGAAACTATAAATAAAGTCCTTCTGAAATGTTTATTTGAATATGGAAACTAGATCAGTAACATTTAATCAAATATCTATCTATCTTGAGCACTGACCTTTATGGGTTTATCCCACATTTAATTCTGTGCTTAATTGTTTTCTAAAGAATTTAGACCAACAGTATTTAAGGCATATATATTTAATACTGTTAACTAAAAAATCCTTGATTTATTGCACTTTATATAGATATAGTTATATATACAGTACACACACGAGTTCTCCCATATATTGCTACAAGTAACTTAAAAGCAAAATACAACAGACATTGAAAGTTACAAAAGGCTTCTGGAGCGTTTTACACAGAACTTAATTTACAAACTTGTAACTGTACATGCAAAATTTATATTCCACCTTGTTTTCTTAATGCCAAAATTTCATCTTCCAATAGTACACTTTTCCTTTTTCACATGTATTTTTCTAAATAAATGCTTATGTTAGAACAAATAACAGTGAGTGTGTGAATCCTATTTCAAGTACCTGAGCTGTCAAAAGGAATACTGTTGCCCTGGACTAACACACATATATAAACCTTATTAATTTACAGTGTTTATTTTCTCTGCTATAATCAGTACATACAGTATTATACAGTCTAGCAAAGTTTAAATTCAAGTACTGTAATAATTCGAAGAATGCGAAATCCCCACCCTCTGTACATATAAATTACAATTAAAAAATGATTCATTAAGGCATATCGTGTTTCCTTACAGTCCACCCCAATATACTGCTGTAAAATTTTTGTTAGATCATAGAATCACATAGCAAGAGGCAAAAAATGGATAATAGGAGAAACATCCAATCTCAGTCATGACACATAAGCACCATCTATACTGGGCAGCGATGGATATCGCAGTTAATAGTTATAGAATATGACTGTCACAAAGATATGGGATGATACGTGCTTCAATTTCACTGCAAAATACTTTGTGACTGGAACAGTAATAAATTTTGATGAGGTGGAACATTCAGTAGTTAATTCTGGTTGTCCTTACCAAGTATGAAATTTTGGAACAAAAATGGCTTTTTCATTACCGTACCCATATTTTAGCATTGTTGATAGTTGTAGAAATGAAAGCCAGTTTGGGTCTAGTGGTTAAGACTCCAGGCTAGAAACCAGGAGAGTTCTAGTCCTGCTTTAAGCATGAAAGCCAGCTGGGTGACTTTGGGCCAGTCCCTCTCTCACAGCCTACAACGTCAGGCTCAGGTGAGAAGCCGGTCGGTTAATTACTGCTGTAACCAATGGATCAACATTCGGTTGATCTGGGGGAAAAAAAAAAAGCGGACCCTGCACCTGCAGGAAAACACTAGGGAAGAAAAAAAAACCCATACAAGAAATATCCAACCACGAGCCAAACAGAAAGGAAGTTTCCCTTGCTTCAACTGTCGTACATATTGCTTAAACATCAAATGGAATTTTATAAATGTTATATTAATTCATCTGAAAAACTAGATTAAAATATTCTGGTTAATTCCAAAATAAGAGATAGTCAAAAGCTCAGTGGGGATTGATAAGCCCCCAAATAGTAAGGTATTCAAACTAAACCTGTCAATTTCTGCCAAAATCCCAAGATAAAAATCTCACTTTTTTTCCAAATGAAAATACAAAATAACCATATTACCATGAAACACCTCTTAGGTAATGGTATGCATATAAAAAAAATTACTCCCAAGGTATTTACACAATCATAGTACATCTGAATTAGTCAAAAGTATGTATATTAACTCCAGATTAAAAAAAAAAAACTAAAATAAATCACAAAAAGGCTGTATAAATCAGTAAACTGGTAATATGTTCTCTGTCATTTGGTCCACAAGTTTTGTCTAGTTGGGTATCCAGAATTCAGTTAATTCACAGTGAGGAAAGAACTTACATCAATTGTTATGTGAATCACACTGAAAACAATGCCCTGCCAAATTGCTTGTTTACAGAAGAGGGCTGAATTTGTGTAACACTGAAATTGGAGCATCATCAGAACTGAGTACAACTAGATTTTTGAAGGCCAGCAAATAAATGTTCCCTTCCAAGCACATTTTCCATTAATATAAAAAAATGAAATTTGGGATAATAAACTATGGGAATAGTAGCATTCTGTCAGCTCTGCTGAAATATTAACTTCATTATGTCTTCCTGTCCTTGAGCTCTTTCTTTACAGGTGAATCTAAGCATTATTATTTGACAGCTGAAGAATGGGATACAAGTGGTTGAAATAAATATCCCGTGACTACAAAGATCCTGTACCCACTGTAAGTTTTGTTTATTTGTTTCATTCAAATCACTGATAATGTACATGCCTACCAAGGATGAAACTCCACTAACAAACTGGTTCTCATTTCTGAATAAATGTGTGTAGGATTGTTCTGAACATTCCATAATATTGTACTTTTTTCCACAGCTTGAAAAATAATTGAAATTTTACATTCAAAAAATTTAGAATGGACCTACATGGATAAGCTCCAGAAGTTTCTATTCTGATGCAAACATGCATATATGGATATATGCCTATAAATATGCACACTGCAATTTAGCAAGTGAAGATAGAATCATTACTTTTAAATGATGCACTATTGTGATTTAATCTTTTGGGTCAGCACAACCCAACAAAACCAAAAAACAAAAGGTCCACTAGAAGCAAGGAACTGTTGCCCCGGGGAAAACAGAAATTTGCTCTCTTTTGATCCTAGTAAAAGCAATGTTATGTTGCTTTGGATTAAAGGGGTGTGTGTATCTATACATGTATGTGAAGTGTGTGTGTGCATGAATTATTCCATCACCTATTTCATAAGGTTTAATACTCTACATGATATATCTATAATGCATCCAACATAACAGATGCATTAAAAAAAAACGAACCAAGTGCATAATCTTTCTAGTTAAGCATTGGGTAGATAATGGCATTTCTAGCTTTGGTATTTCTGGGGCAAATATAAAGCTAACTCATCTCAGCCTTCTTCTAAATATCTCATTTAAATTAAATGAGGATATTTACTTCAATATACATAAACTGGAGCATCATTCTTAAAACATCTACATACATTTGCTACAGTATGTGTTTTAATTGGAACTAACCTGTAGAAGATACTCTGAGTATGAAACATCCTACTCCAGGTTTGAAATACTGTAGCTGTTTTAGTCTAAAACAGACTGAGGTTTAGACCTCTTCTGGTATAGCCAGAACAGTGCTGGAACCCCTCTGGTAAGGGTGGAACTGTTGTTTCAAGGTCAAAGCATTTCTGTGTCAAAACATTTTGCACACCACTAACTGAAATCATGAAACTGAGTTAACGAATGCATTTGACTTCAATTAAACATTTTCTGAATACAGAATCCCTACAATGCAGTTTTTTTAATCCTTTCATATTTAAAACTATATAATTTTTTTTTAAAATTAGAATGATTGCAGAACGGAAACACAGTTATTGAGTACTTTGGGTATAATAACATAAATGTTCAAAGTGTTAAAAATATTTAAGATAACATGAGGTAATCTTTAGTTTCTTTTTTCATGTTTATAAGTAATAGCTAGAATACTTTAAAGGAGTTTGTGTGTGAAATTAACATCTCCCATCTCAGGGATCCACATAAATAAACCCACACCTCAAATCTTTATACAAAAATGCAATATATAAAATGGTTATATTACAAATTGGAAAGGGTTCCTGAATCCATTTGCAGAAGTTTTGATGTGTAATATTTATAATATAAAATGAAGGGTACACTACAGTCACTTGCTGGTTGTTTGACCAAGGAAACAAAAAACAAATCCCAGAATAAAAATAATGCAAAATTGATTTAAAAGCTTTGTTTGCTCATCATTTTGAAACAACGTTCAAAATGTAAAGACTGAAACTAAGCATTTCCATGATCAAGTTTTAAACCTGTGAGGATGAATAAGTGTTTTCCAGTAGCAGATAACAAGCTTCTTATGTGCTTCATCATTCAGTTTTCAGTATCCATTTTAGTGACTAATGTACTTCTGACTGTAACAGAGCACGTCTGATGGCAATATCCAGAACTTTTTTAAACTTCTCATAAGATTTTGTTATCGGAAGCTCTAAACAGTTAAGGTCTCTCTTCCCGATGGGGTATTTTATATGCAGAAACTTAACTGAAGGGTCAGGATCAAAGCCAATAGGTGGAATATTGCGGATGCCAGTTGCAAATACTAAGATGTCCTCTAGAGTTACAGCTGACTCACCACCTACACCAAGAAATATGAAGATTTTTTTGAAAAGCCATTGTAGTTAATCAAGACGTCACATTACTTAGGAAGTTATTGATGAAATAGAGTAATACATATTGACTGCAGGAAATCATAGTTGCAAATATAATGTAAAATGACAGTGCAAAACAAACCTGGTTTTGTCCACAATACTATGAGTTAATGCTTCTTATTTTACAAGTACAAATATATCCCAAAAGCCTAGTTCAAAGTCACAGAAGTAGGCAATACCCCATTTTCTTACCTTCTGTCTCCTGTAAGTAACCCATCCAGAAATCAATACTTCTGGTCTTGTCTGCTCCCGATAAACAGTGAATTGTAAACAGATCACCAAGAAGTTTTGCTGAAAGTTTCTCAGGTTTGTGACATAATATGCTACAGAATGCATCAGGATTCATTTGTATTTTTTCCAAAACACCAAGTGTTTTCAAACCTTGTCTAAAGCTTTTGGGGAAATAGAAATGCACAGAAAGAAATAAAAAAAGTGCTATGAGGCTTTAGTGTTATTTTTCATAAAAAGAAGTATTTCTCTTGTGGATGCTATCAAACTTATTTTCATATTACATATTTCTCTTATTTTTAAAGCAAAAACCTACTGGCTGATCTCTATTTGCCAGAACATTTAAAATTATGTTTACTAAAATGATTCTTGTGATTGCTTGAATTAGAGATGCAAGCCCACATATTCTTACTCATAGCTTGTATTGATTCGTTATCCTTCTACCCATGGTTTTTCAAATCTACTAAATTCTCCTGAAATATGTTGAAAAGGTTCAGAACCCTTTGCTTGAATAACTTATGATTGTTGAAACAATCTTCAAAGAAACTAACAATTTATTAAGCATAACTGAGTACTGAGTAACAGTTTTTTGTTTTTTTTACCTACTCTACATTTTAACAAAATTATTCATTAATTTTTCAGTACTAATTGATTAAAGAGAAAAAGCAATCTTTAGTGGTGAAAATCACTAAAACATAATGAGAAAACATGTACATTTTAATGTACACTTACAGGACATCACATAATATTTTCCTGGGAAACAGATAAAATGATTCTTAATTATAAAGTTAAAAAGTAAAAGAATGATTTGTACAGCAAGCAAACCTTTCAAATGGTAAAAGAGTTCTCTTGATGACATGGTAATTCAGAATCTCATTCACCAACATATTCTTATCACGTAGTGCTGTTACAGGTTTCAAACATCCAATAGAAGCAAGATATTCAGAGCAATCACTTATTGCTGATTCTAAGCTGCTCAGTGTTGTGGCAGATTTTATCTACAGAAAAAGACCAAGTATATTTGCAGCATTAATGAGCCACTCAAGCTAATACATTTCTTTTTTATTTTGATATTTTGTTATCACATTTGTCTAGCTAAAAGCTGATACATATATTATTCTGTTTGTTAATTTCTTATAAAAAAGTTCCCTGAAGAGTTATTTTGTGCTTAATATAATATTGTTAACAATAATTACATTTATTCTAAGATATATCCTACTGTGCTACCCAACAATATCTCACCTTCTCTATTGTCTGTAAAACATCTATATCAGCAACATCTTCTGCTGTTGGCTTCACATTTTCTGTGCCATAGGCGAGGCAATGAAACAAGGTTTTGGAGAAGAAACTAGGAGATGAACCTCCATGAACCAGAGAAACTGCAATCATTTTTCCTGCTTCGTAGTATAAATTATCTTTAAGAGCTGCAAGTACAAATAATATATTGTGCTTATTGAATACAACTGGTAGAAACTTGTCTTAATGTGAGAAAAAAATTAGACCAAAATCCATTATTTTTTTTCCTAAGTCCTTAGTTACAATTCAAAGCCCATAAGGCCAAGAAAATGGCTCCTTCATTTCTTCTTAGATTAGGTATAAGATGCAATTTGTTTGGGAACATGGAAATTCTGTTTAGCATCTGAGAATGGAATCTGCAAAAATAGTATCAAGTCATTTCCGAAATTTCGTTTGTTATATTTATGATGATTCAGAAAGAATGGAACCCTTTCCTTTTAACAAATTGTAACTTTAAGAAGCAAAGGGCACACAATACAACACAACTGACTGTTATTCCCTGTTGATAGTTAAAAATTCTGTTCCGAATCCTTTTTAAATACTCGACCACTATATTTCATTCTATAAAATCCACAGTAACCCCTTTGGCATTTATGGGATGAAAAAGACAAGTTCTGTTTGTGTGCTAATACTTCTTTAATTCCTTCTGTTACTGCATCCACCAAAACCATTACAAGAAATGGTTCCTTCAAGCCTGCAAACTACCCAGAGAAAACTTTTGATGTAGCATGAGCTGTAGAAGTCCCCCAGATGACCACCAGAATCATTCAGTCTTGGTTAAAAGCATGGTGAAATAGTGTTGGTTTAACACTTTACAAAATGCCAGGAGGAAGGCATTTTGAGTTAAGGAATTGGATAAGCACCCGGGCTGTATCAGAGAAGGCCTGCTGTCTAGTCCATATCTCCCTCACTTCACATACAGTGAAGTCTATAAGCAGGGCTTCTCACAGTATTTTCACAGGACATGCAGATTCAGACTTGACAAGATGGTGCTATGCCAACCAGGATTTTATAAGTGGTCACCAGCACTCTCACTTAGGCCCAGAAGCCTTCTGGTAACTGCAGTAACTTTAGTAGTGGAGTTACGAAACTACTATTACAACATTGCCTATCTGCTACTTACAGAAAAATTGGCCAAAAAACCTGTGGAAACAATGGGAGCAACAGTAACCATGCCAGCCTAAGTACCACAGAACTGAGCTACGTAAAAAAGCAAAAGTAATGACCAACAATAAAAACATACTTTCTACTGTAAGCTATTGTGTTAATACTTCATTGTAACAGCACACATTTGCATTTGGCAACCTTTCTGTAATAAGTAGCAATGCATTTTTGTATTTGGCAAGCTGAAAGTTCAATGGCATAGGAATCCTATCTGTAATGTAAACACCCAGTGCATATTTTAGCATTTGGCAGTGAAATCACCTCACACACAGAAAAAACAACTTAGAAACTCCAACTTCCCCATGGCAAAGAATTTAAAAGCAACAATAAACTTAGTAAACAGGCAGCAAAACATTTTTCCATGTCCAAATCTATCAACATATGCTTAGATAACTCTTCTTCACCATTCATTAGGTCAGCTTACTCCAGCCAATGAAAGGAAAAATGCTTACTGATGCATTGTCAGATAATATACTAATCAAGTCTTCACAGTTTGAAGGAATTTTTAAAATGAGCCACACCAATTCCAGAGTATCAGAATATTTGAAACAATGTGAAACAAAACACTGTTTACCTTGAACTTGAGACAAATTTAAAATAAATACTGTTTGTTTTGTATTTAGCCCAAAACATCTGAAGTAGCCATTTTAAGACATTCTAACAGTTAACATTAGAATAAAGGTTCCTACCTCTGCCACCATTATTTAGTGTCTGAACATAGCTAGCAATCAAAACTACATCCCCATCATGCTGTATATTCCAAATACATGTCAGGCTTACCTTGAGGATCAAAAGACAAATTCTTTGAGAAGTCCCCCTCAAATAATGAAGAATTCTGAAGGTGAAGCATCAGTAATAGAAAAAAATCTTCCTTTGATGAGCAACAGAGATCCACCTCTATTTTATTCCTGCAGTTTATATACTTTACTTCAATGGTGTTAGCAGGATTGAAGTTCCGCTTCTGAAATCCTTTTAGAGCACTACCCCAGATATTTTGTCTGTTGATATTCAGTCTTGTTGGTTTGGTATTAATTTGTGATCTTAATTCCCTCAGAATATTGGAGACTTCTCTTTTCTGCATTCCAAGTTGCCTATATAATATGATTAGCAAAACATCTATTTAGGAATTTCAGCAATAATTCTGATGGCAAGCAAGTACCACTATCAGGAGCAAATTAATTCATTTTTTCCCAACATGTATAAAATTATTTTATAGTTATAATAAAGAACTAATTTTAGACGAGGAAGCAAAAAGATTATTCTGTATCATTAATTTGAGACCAAGATCAGAGAAAAGGCTTATTATTAAAGATACATCTAAAATCACTTTTCTATTGAGATAACAAAAGTGGGTTGGGGTCCTGATTGCTAATAGAAATGTCTTGAGTAGAATTTTGATAACTAATATTTCTAAGTGTAGCTCTTTACACCTCTTGAAAATGTGCACTGGAAAACAATCTTACTAGAATAGTGTGGTCACTTCCTTGTTTGTTTGTTTTATTATTCATTCATTTATTCATTAAATTTATATAAGTGCCCTCTCAGACCAGTGACTCTATGTCAAACTACTCCCCTTCTACAGCTGAGGTCATTGGATCTTAATCCTGTCCCTCAATGGAAGAATCCTGTCTATCTGCATAGGTCCATTTAGATTCAAAGCTGACATCACTAATTTTGAAACAATGGGCAGGATCTGATAACTATAATTGTATTTATTGTTATTTCACAGTTCCCAGTATTACATGGCAAACTAGCAAACTAGTAGCAGAGTCAGATCAGTCCTGCCAAAAGTAATGGCAAAGTGTTGCAGGAGAGAGCAGCATTCAGTGAATGCTTCCATATACCCACTTAGTTTGCCTGTGCCCATTTCTGAGATGTGGTGGAGGATGCTGTCTCTTAAAAATATTGAAGAAACTTTCAATTTTCCGCTTGGTTAACCTCTCTGTGAATGAAAGGAATTGTCAGGGGTAAAAGAATTCAAAAACAATTTGCAATATGATCGGAAGAAAAGTTACACAAAGTAAAAAGAAAAAAAAAAGTTATTTTTAAACTCAGTTATTAAATGACAACTATTTATTAACTTACATTTTTCTTAAAGATAAATTCCTTACTGAAGGACTGATGAAGGCAGATGGGGGTAAAAATCTGTTATTAGAAGAGGGAAGATCTGCTTGTGAACACTGAGTAAAACCATTGGAGCATACCATCTTTGGGGACCTGAAGGGAAAAAAATACAAGAATAACTTTAATTTCTACTCAAGTTACAGATAACTTTTTACAAATCAAAAGCTGAAAACATACAAGGTCAAGCATATATATTTCACCCCAAACCTACTTTGAAGTTAGATTCTTCATAATCCAAATATTTCTAGTTTTAATATATAATGCATAAGAAACCATTTGCATTATAATTTCATTTTTAAAAATGAGTGCTCTAGGCAAAAGGCATTGCTTTTAGATTTTTTTAAAAAATGACCTTAAATGAATTACGTTTGGTGTTTCTTGCTAAAAGCTAGTATTTTAATAAGCCAGTGCAGAAAGGGTCATTAATACAGCATAACATTTTGCTGATTCCTGACACACAGCAACAGCACAAAATTTCTTAGATTCCTACCTTGGAGAGCAACTTTTCTAATGGTACAAAAGCTGCTTTAAGCAGTTTCTAAGAGGTGCATGGAATTCACCATAAAATTCCTGTCTTTTAGCTTAAAACATAACATTGTGCTAAGCTATAATTTAGCAAAATACAGACACCCAAGAATGTAGCTTAAGCAAGAGAGTTTGGAAGCTTTCGGTGCAGCACAGCCTGTGGTGTTGCTCAACTCAAAACTGTGACTAATCTTCTATTATAGTTGACAATTTCATGAAATATGGTTTGAATTTAACATTATTTAGAATTAGTTTCAGACGTTTACTATAGATTGTCAGCATGAGTAACATAACAATATAAACTAAAGAAAGTAAAAGCATTCAAGTTGTTGTTATGGTTATATAGGAAAAAGAAAAGGAAGGAAAGCATATGAGTCTGAACTCTCTGTATTACATTTCAGCTTATTTATATCATGTTAAATTTTGACTAGCATAAGTGCAACTTATATTGTTATCATTGTTCTTATATCCCACCTTTATTTTGTATACCTCAAGGTGGTGTACATATTTCCATCTCCTATTTTGCCCAAAACCACCACCCTGTGAAGTGAGGTTGGGCTGAGAGAGAGTAACCAGTCCAAAATCACCTAGTTGGTTGCTATGCCTAAGAAAGCACTAAAACCTCATGATCTCCCAGTTTTTAGTCCAGCACCTTAACTACTACATCAGACTGGCTCTCTAAACATTTTCACATGCTTGTGAGAAGATGGAAATCACATGCCTGACATGGAAGCCAAGATGAGATCCTGGAGACTGTCTAGGGTATTTGGGTGATGGATCTTCCATCAAACTGTCTCCATCTGCTTTTTCTGGCATACTCAAGGAACGCTTTCGCCATTTCTGAGCACTTCCTATATAACAAAGTAAGCATGTTTTATTTCATAAATCATTATTAGCTTTCAGTTAATTCAAGCTTTATGAATAATATGTTCATACCATTTGATTTGGCAAGGATGGTCCTACATTCTATGCATTCCCAATTTTGCTCCCAGCTTGTTAGTGAGGAACATGCCAAATGAGTTCCACTAGAACCACAACACTGACAGCGTTTTATTTCCCATTTGCTAAGAGGAAATAAAAAAGTATTATAAATTATGACAATAACTTTAATTCAGCAAAGCTATACAGACATTATCATTCTTTCTGAAGAGAAATTAGATCATACATTCATTGAGTTGTAACAAAATATAAGAGTGAAAGACTAACAGCATTTTAAATTATTTTAGGCTGCCTTTCTATCAGAAAATGAATTTACTGATATTTAATATGACTGTTCAACTATATTTTGTTCTACAAGCCATTGTTATTGAGTAACTGCTAAGAAACAAAATGACATACACTACAAATCAAAAGAACTAACACAGTCAGAAAAAGCTATAGCAACACACAGGCACAAACCCCTTTCAATCTAGTCTATGGGCAACTCAGTCCTACAGATAATCTATGCAATCATCCTTAAAAGCTTTCTGAAAAAGCAAAATTTTCACCATTTGACAGAAAGCAGTTAACAATAAAGCTTCCCTGGAGAGGTGAAGAGAGAGCCCTGACTTACACAGACATCCCATTAATTTCAAAGAGTAGCATATGGATGAAGATTCTTAATCTTAATCTGATTGAAGATAGGCATATATTTCTTTTAAAACATTTTTTCATAACTAATATAATAAAAGTAGGATTGTTTAGCATTTCAAATAAACAATGTCTTTGTTATATATAATAAATGATCAAGATAATTATGAATAGAAAACAAAACCCTATCAGCCAATTAAAATAAATGGTCAATGATTTCTTTGGCTTATTCAAACAATTATAAATCATTTGATTTTTTAAATTTTGAATTTGCTACATTTGAAAAACCAGAAAGAAATTAGACATTGTCGGCAAAAACAGCATAAATGTTAATACCTATCAGGCTCATTGTAGTCTCTTCCATTTTTGCAAAGGCATCTTTTAATATCACAGTGCTGGTAACGTTGAAGAAGTTCTTGATAGGCATTCTCTTCCAGTTCCCAAGAGGCATCTCTGGAATCATTCAAACATTTGTTAGAATACTGTAATTCTGGAGTTTAGCTTTTCTTGTTAAACTAGTCAACAGTAAAATACAGTGTAAGAATGCAATCACACAATATAAAATTAACATAATAAACAATAATTTAAATGGCTTACTTTTCTGGAATATGGATGCCCATTCTTAACATTTCATTCTGAAATTTTTCTTTATTATTACATACAGGACATCTAAAGAAAAATACTCCTGCACTGACAGCTTGACACTGAATCCAAGAGAGAAAAATAATGATCAATAAAAGTTATTTACTTCACACAGAGACTACTAAATGCCTTTGAAAATTAAGGCATAATATCTGTAAGAACAAATGATTGATTCAGGTATAAAAGCTTGAGACAAATTTCCTATTTCCTTTAAATTTTGCAAATGCTAACTACAAGGGTTGAATGAAAAGTAATGCCTCCAAAGTTTTGAACAGATGACAGTACTAATGTACTAAATGCTCTGACATGTTTTTTAGTATTCGTCCTTTCACTTCAGTTGGTAGATGTTGCTGTGAGAAAAGGTTGTGTTGCTATTATTAATTCTTTGAAATGGAAGCCTGCAATGAGTACTCATCAGTGAGCTTTAAGCAACACTCCATGTTGAATTTTTGACTGAAGGAGCCTCTCCAATTGAAATTCATTACTGAATGTAGGTTGCTTATGGTGATGACTGTATTGACATGAGTACTGTGTGCTGCTGGGTCAAAAAATATAAAGACGGTGAACAAGGAAGACCTACTTTGTATGATCAAGAATGAAGTGGACATCTATGACAGCAACTAAGTTTCACATGAGAAAAGCTGATGAAATGATTAAGGACAATTGGCAGATCATTCAAAGGGACATTACTGTCAAGCTTAGCATTTAGCTTAGCAGGAACATGTGAGTCACATTATTAATGTTTTTCAATAGCAGAAAACTGTGCAAGATGGGTTCCTTGCACACTGGGCAAGCTTCAAGAGTTGAAATTTGCCAGCTATTGTTGTCTCATGCTAAGAGAATGAAAGTGAGGAATTTTTTTGTATCATGACAGCCAGTGAAACGTGGACTGATCCTCATGATGCAGAAATGAAGTGTTAGTCCATGGAATATCATCACAAAGCTTCATCTGTAGAAAAAAACCAAACCAAACCCTGGCTTTGGCAGGAAAATGCATGGTTAGAGTTTTCTGGGACACAGATGTTTTTCACGTGGATTTACTTTTAACTTGACATCACTATCAACTCAGAGCACTGCACTGCAACAGTCAAAACTTTGAAACAATGATTAAGCAGAATTTGGAAGTGCAAGAAGGAATTTTTTTTTGCAGCATGTCAATGGTAGGCTTCACACCTCATGAGCCACTGAAGAGGCAATTGTGAAGTTGGATCTCACCATCTTACCCCATTCGCCATATAGTCCAGACTTGGCATCATGCGACTTCCACCTTTTCCCCAAATTGAAGGAATACCTTTGTGGGCATCTGTTTGAGTCAAATGAAGAAGTGGAAAGGACTGTCAGGACCTGGTTGAAGAGACAAAGTATGGAGTTCTTTCGTGACAGCTTTCAGAAGCTTGTCCATTGTTGGCAGAAGTGTGTAGTGAATGGTGGTGATTATGTGGATAAGTAAATATAGGTAAAAAAGGAGCTCATTTCAAGGATTATTTCCTTATTTCATTTATTAAAATGTCCTTATATAAACAAAAGTTACGGAGGTGGAGGCATTACTTTTCATTCAAACCTTGTAGATCGAGTTTATAAGGGTTCCCTGGACCATCTCATCCACATATTTCTGTCTCACTTCAAACCTACTTAAATGTAGATCTATATTCAAACAATGACAATTTACAGTTTGTTTCTTTTTAATAAGTAAAAGAGACTTCTGCTATAATGGCAATCCAGACATACCTGCAAACATTCCCTATGAAACCAAGCATTTTTACAGCATGGGCTTGTCAAAATGTTGTATGCAGGTACACATTCAACCAACTCCAAACATATTGTACATTGTGATGATCCTTTACAATTAGAAGGATGTTTTTGAGTAGGTCGGTGTTTCCAACAATATGACCTTAAATTAGAGAGGCAGAATTGCATAGAATCACAACACTTAAAAAAACAGAAATGTTACTCAGGCAAAACAAGTACTTTGTAAAAACATTTTCTCAGATATGGATGTAAGGACCAATTTACTTACATATTAACTGAAGTTAATCTGATGTTATTAAGTTATCAGCAGTAACTTTAATGCTTGCAATTTTAGAAAACAAATAGCTCCAATAAACTTTTGAAATAATGAAGTAAAATAAACTTACGGAAAAGTTTCTCTGAATTGGAAAAGGCATCCTCTCTCTATCCCACAAGGAAAGTGGTAGCTTCGTTTGCATCTGGATGTTATACAGCCAATTGAACCACCTTTTTTCTTACAGATAGTACATTTCTAAAAAATACCATAATAAATACTCTTAAATAAGAAGACTTTACTACAATACTTATGAATTTAGTCTGTAATAAATTTAAATATTTTAAGCACTATATTTTTATCACCACTTACAGAAAAACAGTTATTTTGCATCAAAGTTTATACAAGAAAAAACACACCGGTACCATATAATTGGGTATTGGGATAGTTGCTACAGGGTTTTTTTTTACCTTTACCCGAATGCCCTGAGAACTTACCTGTGTGCCCTGAAACCTGGACGCCAAACTGCAGACTTTGGGGGTGTCCTATGGTAGAGTTTGGTGGAACCAGTGTGGCTGGAGCCCCGCGGTTGAGTTGGACGTGGTGCGGCAAGCGGCGCGCAAGGCAAGTGATGTGGCAAGCAGTGCTAGGCAAGCAGTGTGCAAGGCAAGTGGTGTGGCAAGTGGTGCGAGCTCAAGGAGAGGCCTGGGCTACAAAGAAGAACTTTTTGCTCTAGTCTTGGATCTTTGGGGGTGCTTGATGCTTCAGACTCAGACGCATGGAGGTTGGCGAAGCTCAGTGGAGGTTATCTGGAGTGTGGCGGGGGCCAGATGGAACTCTGCAGTTGTGTCAGGTGATGCAGAGAAGGTATAGCCTGAAGAGAGATCTGGGCCGTGGCAGCCTAGAACTTAGCTGAGCTCAAGGCTGGACCACTGTGCAGGGCCTGAAAATTGGCTGGACTGGCACCAGAGCACTAGTGGTGATCCGAGTTGCAGCTGAAGTGGTTTGAGTGGGACCAGTGGCGAAGAACTGAGGCCTGGACATCAGCCTAACAACCAGCTTGGCATCTGGCACCCGAACTGCAGCTCTGGCCCCAAGGGGACTTGAAGGACATGGAAGCTGGCAGGTTTGATTCCGGACAGAGTGCTGGGGTCCCTCGAGTAGACATTAGCTGGGTCTCTCTCCCTAGGTGGATGTGTGAATGTGTGGGTGAATGTGTGAGTGTTGTTCCCTACCGACCAGTGAGAGAAGTCGGTGTGGGGGGCATGGTGTATAAAAGGGGTGAGGGATAAAGCTCCAACGGCGCTAAGAGTGGGAGCTGGAGTGCTGGAGAGCATACCACCACTCATGATTGACTGATTGATTGGGTGATTGTTAGTGTATGTTGGATGAGGGTCCCCTAACTAGAGATGCTGGAGGCCCAGGATTGGGGGGAATCAGAGACCCTGGGGGGTTTAGGGTGGTTCATGCTATTCAGATGGTGATGGGGAGGGGGTGTTAAGATAGGAGTCAGAGGGCAGGCCGCTCTTGGGGAAGATGCCCCTGGTATTTACTACCGGTGGCATGTTCTGGCCTCTGGACTCAGACCTAGACCCTGGAAAGCGGATCCACGGAGGCCCTGGCTTTTGGCTGCTGCTGCTTAACACCAAGTCAGTTAATATCAAGGCCCCCCCATATGTGATTTGATCACTGAGGAACAGGCTGACCTGGTGTGTATCACCGAGACCTGCCTGGGCCCTAAAGCGGGGAAACTCCTTTCAGAAATGTGCCCAGCCAAGTTTATGGTTTGGCACCAGCTGAGACCCCAGGGCAGGGCAGGAGGGGTAGCAGTTGTTATCCGGGAGTCTCTGTTAGTCTTCAGGGGTGCTGCTCCACAAGTGGCTGGTTGCGAGACCCTGTTCCTGAAGTTGGGTTTGCAAGAACAGTTGGGATTGTTGGTACTATACCAGCCTCCCCACTGTGTAGCAACCTCCCTGCCTGAGCTGGCTCAGGGCTGGCAGTGGAGTTCTCCAGACGCATGGTTCTGGGGGACTTCAATCTGTCATCCCTGGGACATGCCTCGGAGGCAGCCCAGGAGTTCATGGCCACCATGGCAGCCATAGGCCTGTCCCAGGTTATTTGCAACCTGACTCAGGATAGTGGTCCCACACTGGACTTGGTTTTCTTGTCAGAGCAGTGGCAAGATGATCTGAAGGGGGAGTTACATCTGTCCCCATTGTCATGGTCAGACCATGGCCTGGTGACTGAGATTCTCCCATGCTGCCCCCCTCTGCAGGGAGGCAGGACCTATTCAACTGGTCCCCTCCTGGCGACTGATTGGCCCAGTTGGGTTCCAAAGGGAGTTGGGGGTTATACCTGAGGATCTGCTGCATGGTCCAGCAGAGGCCTTGGCTGCCACCTGGAATAGGAAGGTGGCCGAGGCCTTGGACAAGATCACGCCCATGCGACCTCTCTTGACCCATTGAACCTGACACTCCCTGTGGTTTATGGAGGAGTTGAGGGCCTTGAAAAAGATTAAAGGATGTCTAGAGCACCACTGGAGGAAAACAAGGACTGAACCCGACCAAACACAGGCTAGAGCCACTATTAAGGCCTACCTTGTGGTGGTAAAAGTGGTGAAACGTCAATATTTCCCCGCTCTTATTACATCTGCAGAATGCCGCCAGGCGGCCCTATTTAAGATCACCTGATCCCTCTTGGGAAAGGAGGGCCCAGTGGCCCATTTACAGGACTGTGCAGAGGAATTTTCTGGGAACCTGGCGGATAAAATCGCTCAGAACCGTTCCAAGTGTGGGGCATGGCCTATGGAGATGCCCAGGGTACAGACATACCCTGTTATCTCAGAACAGTTTGATCCTGTTGGACCCGAGGAAGCTGACAGGGTCTTCCAGACTGTTAATGCCCCTACTTGTCAACTAGATCCATGCCCCTCCTGGCTGGTCAAGGCTGCTCGGGAGGTGACATGTGGGTGGGTCCAGGCAATGGTGAATTCATCCTTGAGGGAGGGGGGGTTTCCAGTTGTCTTTAAAGAGGCGCTGGTGCAGCTCCTCCTCAAGAAACCATCCCTAGATCCCACCGTATTGGACAATTTTCCTCCAGTCTCCCACCTCCCCTTTTTAGGGAAGGTAGTTGAGAAGGTGGTAGCACTGCAGCTCTAGGGGACACTGGATGAAACGGATTATCTGGACCCTTTTCAGTGAGGTTTCAGGCCTGGATATGGGATGGAAACAGCATTGGTCACACTCATGGATGATCTCTGGTGGGAGCGGGATGGGGGTTGAGCATCCATCCACACTCTTCTTGACCTCTCAGTGGCTTTTGATACCATTGACCATGGTATCCTTTTGGGCCAACTTAGGGAGTTGGGAGCGGGTAGCAGAGTTTTGTGCTGGTTCACTTCCTTCCTCCAAGATCAGTCCCAAAGTTGATTGGGAGAGGTCTGGCCCATGGCCCCACTGTTGTGGGGTATTGTAGGGTTTGGTACTCTGTTCACTCCTTTTTAACACCTATATTAAACCACTGGGTGAGATCATCCACCACCATGGGATGAGGTATTATCAATATGCAGATGATACCCAATTATACATCTCCATCATGGGTGATTTGAGTGATGCTGTGACCACCCTTTCCTGGTGCCTGGAGGCTGTGAGGGTCTGGATGGGGAACAACAGGCTTCAGCTGAACCCTAGTAAGATGGAGTGACTGTGGATTGGAGGCTCCTCTTTATCTGGGGGTTTACCATCTTTGGTTCTCAATGGGGTTGCATTGCCCCAGACAGACCTGGTGCGTAATCTGGGGGTCCTCCTGGATTCATGACTCCTGCTTGAGGAGCAGGTGGCAGTCGTAGCCAGGAGGGTCTTTACTCAACTTCTTGTTGTGCGCCAGTTACGCCCCTTCCTGGATCAGGAGTCCCTCTAGTCTGTCACTCACACCCTGATCATCTCTCATTTAGACTATTGCAATGCACTCTATGTGGGGCTACCTTTGAATAAAGGAAGCTATAGCTGGTTCAAAATGCGGCCGCACAAGCAATCTTGGGTGCCCCAAGGATGGCACATGTAGCACCTTTGATGCGGGACCTGCATTGGATTCCAGTTTGTTTCTGGGTCCAATTCAAGGTGTTGGTTATCACCTTTAAAGCCCTACATGGCATGGGTCCAGGTTACCTAAGGGACCATCTTACCCCCATTACATCGACCTGTCCCACCTGGTCTGGCAGAGAAGGCATATTGCAGATCCCAATGATGAGAGAATGTTGACTGACAGGTCCTAGGAAGAGAGCCTTCTTTGCCGTTGCCCCCACCCTATGGAATACTCTCCCCCCAGAGGTGAGGCAGGCCCCAACTCTCGTCCTTCCGGAAAGCAGTCAAGACCTGGCTCTGCCAACTGGCATGGGGCGCAAAAAAGGGCAACCAACCCTGGAGGTGGCTAGCACTTTGAAGATGCTCCCATATGTTAACATCTTACTGACCATCAACATCTTGGAAGATATTACTT